CTCATCTTAAGAGTGTGACATCACCACCTGCCTCACTGATGGTACTCTGAAGACGAACTAGGAGCCATATCAGGTGCACAGGCCTCTGACACCGGAAGGCAAGTATATAGGGCGACTTCCACTGCCCTCACACAGACACTGAGGTTTTGCCTTCCTGATGTGGAGCTCTCCCCCAAGCACCAATCTTGGTAGGTCCAAGTTGACCTCAACAGTTGTTCTCAACTAATAACTTCATATTGTTGTTGTTGTTAAGTACCATCGAGTTGGCTCTGACTCACAGCAACTCTGTATAGGGCTTCCAAGGGGTTGCTGGTAGGTTTGGACTGCCGACCTTGTGGTTAGCAGTCCAGAGCTTATCCTACAGCACCACACATAACCTCTTACAGACAGGATCAAAATAAAGTCCAACTGAGGACTTGTCAGTTTGTGGGGAGGCTCCCTGGCATCGAAAACACAGGAACTCACTAGTAGGCTTTTTTTTTCAACTTTGTGTTGTGACTTGAGTGAAGGTTTACAGAGCAGATCATCAGTTTTACATTCAACAAACCCTACCCTCCGCTTCATTTTAGTGATCCCCCTCAGTGTAATGTCACTTGTCCCACGTCCTCCCTGTATCTCTTGTTTCCATTCCTCCTCCTTTTCCCCACCTTTCTGAATTTTGTCCTTAGGTAAATGCTGCCCTTTGATCTTGAATGGTGTGTATCCTCACTAGCCTTGCTGTCTTCCCTATAGACCTAACTACTGCTTAGCTGAAAATTGAGCCACAGGGTTGTGATCAGTTCCAGACCTGAAGGATGACCAAGGGTCATAATCTCAGGGTTCCACTAGTCGTCATGCGACTAGTAAGCCTGGTCTTTTTTTATGATTTTGAGTTTTGTTCCACATTGTTGCCCACTCTGTTCAGCACCTTCTAATGTGATCCCTTTCAGAGAAGTTGGTAGTGGTAACATCATTGGCAGTCTTCCCATTACCACTTTGGTTAGGCAGCACATGCCACTGACTGACCCAGGCCCTCAACTCAAAAGGGAGATCAAGAAAATTTGCTGGAGAAAAGTCAGTCCAACTCCATAAGAGCATGAGCTCCCCACCTAGTTCAGTGCCTGGACACAGCAGCACTCATTAAATATGCTCAATGAATAAAGACAACCACCTGATTCTGTACCTGATCTCTTTACTGACCAATTGCACCATCTGATTCCTTTAGTGCCTACCATGATCCAGGCACTGGGAAGATAAAGTAGTCAAGACTAGTACAAGAGTCATGCCTACGGAGGGTTCTTTTTCATTGTTTAAAATCTGCGCAGCAGAACATATATCAATTCAACAATCCACAATTCAGTGATACGGATTGCATTCAAGTTATATACCATTCTCTCCCTCTTTTTTCAAGTTGTTTCCTACCTTGTTAACATAAACTCACTGCCCCCTAGACTCATCTTCACTATCTAATCTTTCAAATTGCTTGACAATAGTCAATTTGATCCCATCCATACAGAGTTCTTTAAAAGAACCCAGTGTAGGCAGACATGTTTTACTAATTAAGTCACACTATTATTTGGTTTAAAGAAGACAGCAGATGATATTTTTTATTTAAAGTTAAAGATGATCTCAAGACAATATTTTTAGGGGTTCATCCAGCATTCAGGAAGCCTGGAACTCCATGAGCATTTGAAATTCTATTCCACTTTCCCTCTTTCAGTCCATATTCTTCTACAGAATCTCAGGTCAAAATGCTCAGTAATGGTAGCTAGTTCTTCTGGTTTCATGGCAAAGGAAGTAGTTGTTTATGGAGGCACTTTGGCACACATGCCATATCCTCTTCCTATTCCTGACTCTCTTTCTTCTATGGAGGCTTCTTCACAGAGCCAAGCAGAAGCAGATAAAAAGAAAGCTGCTCCTTCATGAAACCAGTAGTTAAGAACCACATCAGCAGTTCCAGGTCTATAATTACAAGCTCCTTGAAGACATGGACCAGATTATATATCTTTCCTGCATGGCTACTCTGTGAGGGCAAATAAAGTCTTAATATTGTTATGAAAATAGTTTGGCCTTGAGGACCCTTCAAAAAGTCTCAGGCACCTCTAGGCGTCTGCAGACCAGACTTGAGAAATGGCTGAGTTACACTATAAATTCAGGTCTATTTGGGCAAGCTGCCCAAGTCCCAGGCTAGGAGAAAGCATGGGAAAGAAGACAACTTCTCATGTGTGATGGAGTCAGGACACAAAGGTTCAACAGGTGCCTCACCTAGCAAGAGGCTCTCCATCCTTCCACTGCAGAGCTGATGCTAGACAAACCTGTCTCATCTCACACACAGAAGTGTTCTTAGGCAAGACTTCAGCAACAGATGAGTGGGAGTTCCTAGCTATGATTTATAGACCTGGAACTACTTCCACAGAAACAGGAAGGAGCTTCCTGTCTAATTAGTGTTTGAAGACAGGAGTCAAATTTTTAAAGTATTTAAAACTTGCCTGTAATGACCACCCACCCACCTATTAGCACCTCTGTCTAGCTCTTTGCCTTCCAACACAAGCTCCCCCAGTACTTGGTACCCCTATCCTTTTCATCCTCTTCCAATGTTACCTCCCCCTCATTTTCTCATCCTTAAAGGTCACGTGCATTTGCTTTGTATTATTTTAGTTTGGTTCACTTATTTTTGTTGTCTTTTTCCCCCTCCTAATTCATACCAAGTTGAAAATGACAGCTCTCTCCAAAATACTTATATTTCTTAAAGGCTACTTTTGGCACAAATGACATTTCAATTGTTAGATTTCCTTTCATGTGTTATGGAGTATTTATGAGGCAAGAGCCTTCCTGGAAAGAACAGAAAGCCATACCATGAGAGACAAACTTATGGAATATTGGAAAAATACATAGATTTTGGAATTAGTCTTGATGTGGTTCTGTGGGTTAATGCGTTGGACTGCAACATTGGTTTGAACCACAAGGTCAGCGGTTCAAGCTTACCAGATACTCCTCGGAAATGCTACGAGTGAGAATCGACTTGACGGCACTTAACAACAACACCAGTGTCCAAAATATAGATCTACTACTTAAATGAAGTTCCCACTTAGTCTCAGGAGCTCTGGTAGCAGAGTGGTTATGAATCAGGCTGCTAACCTCAGGGTCAGCAGTTCTAAACTACCAGTTGTTACATGGGAGAAAGATAAGGCTTTCTGCTCCCACAAAGACTTACAGCCTCAGAAACCCTATACAAGGTCACTATGAGTCAGAACCAACTCCACAGCACATAACCATCACCACCACCTAATCTCACTGTCAGTAAGTCAATTCTGACTCGCAGCAATGCTATAGAACAGAGTAGAACTGCTCCATAGGATTTCCAAGACTGTAAGTCTTTATGGAAGCAGACTGCCACATCTTTCTCCTATAAGGGCAGCTGGTGGGTTTAAACCATGAACCTTTTGGTTGACACCCCAATTCAACCCACTGTGTTACCAGGGTTCCTTTAAATGACCTTAGGTAAGTTACTTAACTTCTCTGGGCCTCAATTTCCTTATCTGTAAAAAGGGAATTCTACCTCCCTTGTATAGTTCTGTGAGGATTATTGAATACAGCATTGTCGTTGTTGTTAAGTGCCATTGAGTCAGTACTGACCCATAGCAACCCTATGCACAGCAGAATGAAACACTACCCGATCCTGGGCCAACCTCACTACTGTTGCCACACTTGAGTCCACTGATGCTGCCACCTGGCCTATCCATCTCATTGGGGGTCTTCTTCTTTTTCTCTGACCTTCCACCTTACCAAACATGATATCCTCCAGCGACTGGTCCCTCCTGACAGTATATCCAAAGTATGAGAGATGAAGTTTGACCATCTTGGCCTCTAAGGAGCACTCTGGTTGCACTTCTTCCAAATCAGATCTATTGGTTCTTTTGGCAGCCCATGACACTTTCAATATTCTCCTTCAACACCATAACTCAATGGAATTCAGCATACTCCCTACCAAACAGTAGGTACTTAATCAATGTGAGTGATTATCTGGCTCCCTCTGCATTAGGTAGCATAGTGGTTACGAATCGGGCTGCTAACCTCAAGGTCAGCAGTTCGAAACTACCAGCTGTTCCATGGGAGAAAGATGAGGCTTTCTGCTCCCATAAAGATTTATAGCCTCGGAAACCCTATACCAGGTCGCTATGAGTCGGAACCAACTTGACAGCACATAACCACCACCATCTGTGTTAGGAAATCTTGTCCCACAAAGATCTGCTTCCTGACCCAGGCCTGTACTTTACATCCTAGTTACCCATATATTCCAGCTGCCACATATCTTTTTCTTTCTGACTGAATCCCCTCTCTACTGTTTCATTTATTTGGATATTGGCCTCACACTCTGTAAATGCCCAGGATTCTGTTTAAGATCAACCCTTGTGTCTGATCTCAAGGGACCCACTTTTCCTTCTAGAAATGATGGCATTGCATACTTGGTTAGAGTCTTAATCAAGCTTGACTGATGAGTCCTTGGGATTTTCTGATCCATAAACAAAGCGCCTGGGTCTAGAAAGAGACTTTGCTTTTCTCTGGAAAACAACCTTTCACTGGAATTTCCAGCCACACATCACTGTTCATTCACCTTACTAGTCTTAGTGTGTTCCTACCCAAATTCTGAATGCAGCTCAATTTGTATTAAATTCCAATCCTCTGGTATTACTTGCCAGAGAAGGTAGAAATTTGCAAAAATAATCAGGTTAATCTAAAGTCAGTAAATATTGTCCCTGTAACTAGACCCAAAGTGAATGGGAAGAACTATTTAAACAACAGGGGACTCTGAGTCTTGCTAGGTCTATAAACTAGGCAAAGGCTAAAGGTAAATATGATTAGTCCCAGGAGATTCTCCTGTCTAATTGAGCCAAAAAAAGGAATTGAGTACTAAGAGCTCACTAAACAATAAAACTTCAAGAAAGAAAAATAAAAACCATATAGAAGAGATCAAATAAAATGTACAGACAGATTAATTTACACATTAAACAGGATCTTACCTGCTTGATCAAGTTCGAGCAGAAAATAAGGAACACACATGGATTTAAATAACTTCTTTACCTAGAAGTTAAAAAACCACCGGGGGAGAATGTCAAAGAAAGGTTATCATTAACAGCAAAAAAGTCTCTTATCCAGTCTTATTACTTTCCTCCTCAACCTGCCCTCTCCTTTGAAAACTTTCCAGTTCATTTTATATAACCCACAAGATTCTCCTTGCAGATGGTAATGATATTTAAAAGGGTGTTTGAAGTTTCTTGATTCTAGTCTATTGAATTGAATCTATTGACAATGATTCACCTATACGGCATCATAAAATATATTTTATGTTTGGTGACTCAGTCTGCTACATTACAAATGAGTTTAATATTAACCATGATTTTTCAAAAAAGGCACTGGAACACTTAATGTTTACAGAGCATTATGAGATGACCCTAGGACATTTTACAATAGTCAAGTGACTAATTAATTTTGCAAAGCAACCTTCAAGTAATTATAAAATCATATGCTCAAGATTATACAAACTATACTAGTTTAAAAAAACACAAATTTTTTTTGTTCAAGGAGAAAAGTTACTTTCACCAAATTTATACTACCAGATAACATCCAAATGATTGCTAAAACAGACTTTATATTGAATACCACGTATGTTGTTTTTGTTATTGTTAAGTGCTGTTGAGTCAGTTCCAACTCATAGCCATCTTGTATAGGGTTTCCAAGGAGCGGCTAGTGTGTTTGAACAGCTGGCCTGTGGTTCAAAATGACCTTGCAGTCCGGTGCTTCTCCTACAGCACCACACCAGGACTTGTGTTCCCCATACAGACCTGCTTATTGTCTAGCTGAAAACTGAGCCATGCGAGTGAGTTCAATTCCACTATGGGCCATGGTCTCAGGGGTCCATCAGTCTCTATCTGATCAGTAAGCCTCATGGTTTTTTCTGATTTTGAGTTTTTTTCAACATTTTTCTCCCATTCTATCCAGGAATTTTAATGTGATTCAGGGCAGTTGGTACTGATAGCTGGGTACGATCTAGTTCTGCCAATACAATATTTTTTTAAGAATGAAAGAACTAATTTCTTCATAATATACCATTTCAGTAATCTTCCTCTTAGACCCCTCTGACCAGCCACCGAAGTCTCAGTGTGAATTCAGAGCCCCTGGCAATACACATTTAAGGAGATAAAAATCCTTCTGAAGAATGACAAGGAAGTCTATAGGGACATTAAGGAAAGTTCCAAGAAAGCTATAACTGGGAAACCACCTGGACAAAAGCCAATTCATATTCCAAAACTCACTTTTAAAAAGAAAACTAGAAAGTTCATACACACATAAAATCACATTCTTAAGACTTTCTTAGCCACTTAGAAATATACCATTTGTAGTTTGTTACAAACGTAAACAAGTTTTCCAGGCTTAGAGAAGGAAACACTAGAAGCAAACAAGCTTCTGACAGTAATTAGTGAAACTTGATAATAAGTGAAATGTAGAAAATAAACTCTTCAGTTTCCCTAGAGTAAACATGATCTGATTTCAAGAAACTCCTTTTTTGAGGGGAGGTTATTGTTTAACTCTGACTAAACGTAAGTAAGCACTATTCCAAAGTACAAGATTAAAGATCCATATCAAATACCAGATTTATTCAAATAAATATCAGGTTTATTCAAGTGCCAGTTTTAAGAGTAGTCTTAGTGATTAAAGGAGACGATGGTAAACTTTGTCTGTAAAATAAACCCACTATTGAGGAATGGCAGTGGGCCTCCATGTCAAGGAAAAGATAGACCTTAATGAGACATTGTTCGCTGACTCCGACTACATACTTCTGATCTTCAACTGAACTATTTTAGGTAACAATGACCACATTTCCCAAATGGTAGGGAGGGTTTATCATTGTCCTTTAAAACCCACTTTTCACAATAGGAGTTACTCAAAGCACACATGATAGCCTGTTATGCAACACATAGGGCACTAACTTTATAATAATTTCCTTGTGAGCATTTCTCAACTTGAATGAATGCAAATGACACTTTTTACCCCAGAGAGAAATATATACTAATAACAGAGCCAGCACAAATGAAAAAAGGAAGTTTCTCTATTCTGGTTTATTCACATCACAATTGGTCAATGAGATGATAAAATCAAAAGGGAATGGAAAATGTTTGGGGAATTTCTATTTCAAGGTAATAATAATAATAAAGTGGACAGTCAAGTATATAAATTGTACCCCTATAGCAGTAATTCACTATTTTTACTAGGAGAAACACCTAAACATGAAAGCAATTAAAAATTTTTTTTAATAAAAACATTGAAAATTAATCTTCATACTAAATGTCACAAATCTGAGAACCATTTATATAATCAGAAATATATAAACTAAGAAATTGGCATTTGCCCACATACAACCAGAGGATGCTTGTTTAGAAACTGGTATACCCAGGATTATTCAGATGGCACTGAAATTGTCTGAGTAACTACACATTTAAATAAAATAAGTTTGCAAATAACTAACACAAGTTTTATAGGAAAAGTTCTTCATTCCTAGAGTAGATTTAGTAAAATACATTTTTAAAGTGCAGCAGGGACAAGGTTTGTCTTTACAGGGTAGGCATGATCTGGAGACTAAGGAAGAGTTTATGGGATGAGCACACTTACTGGTTGAAGAAGCCTGAAATTGTGGGGTGCACGTGGAGAATCTAACTAGTAGTAGCAAGCCTGGTCACTAGACAAGCCCCCCTTTTATTTTTCTAACAGAACTGGGGTCCAAATTGGAATTTTCCAATTCTTTAATAATGTTTAAGAACATAAGAAGAGTTCTGGCACATAGCCGATGCTCTAATGGCAGCTATTATTAATAAACTAGTACACTGCAGATTCCCAAGTGCTTTTGCAAAGACCTGAACTCATTTGGTCCTCATAATAAAGCTGTATGTTTAAACAAGTATAGTAAGTAGATAATGGTGGCAGTGCTGGTGGCAAGCCACCCAGTCAATTCCGACTCATAGCGACCCTGGACAGAGTTTCCCAGGCTGTAAATCTTTATGGTCACAGAAAGCCTCATCTTTCTCCCATGGAGCAACTGGTAGATTTGAACTGCTGACCTTGCAGCTCATAATCCACTATGCTACCAGGGCTCCTTTATAGTAAATGAGATGGCATTATTCTCTTTCTTTTAATGCTTACAACTATAGATTTCTAGAATTAGAACCCAGATCTTCTGACCTCAAGTGTTCCTTCTACCATTTTGTTGTTGTTAAGTGTTGTTGAGTAAGTTCCCACTCATAGCTACCCTGAAATAGTGTTCCTGAGGAGCAGCTGGTGGGTTTGAAGTGCCGACTTGCAGTCCAGTGCTTATCCTATAGTGTCACTATTTATGGAGCTTTGGAGGGAGAGGTTAGACTAGACAAAGTAACCACTGGTAGGATTAATTTTACTTGGAATAAAGTCAGCTTGGATTGTCATTTAACCCAGCGTTAGTGCTAATGGAGTATCACCATCCAAGGTTTTAAGTCAGCATTTACTATGCTCTGGACTGCTGGTGTGGTGCTGCAGGATAAGCACTGGACTGCTCCCACCAGTCACTCCTCAGAAACTCTAAACAGGGTTACTATGAGTCGGGACGGACTCAGTGGCACTTACCAACAACAACAACAGGTATGCTCTATGGACTTTTAAATACTAATTTATTTAACCATCAAAACAAATTTGTGAGCTAGGTACTATTATTGTTCACATTTTACAGATAGGGAAACTGAGGCACAACAGGTAAGTCATTTCACTAAGGTCACATGGCTAATAAGTCACATAGCTAGAATCCAAACTCTGACTTCAGATTCTAGGCTCTTAACCATTATTTTGGTAACAGAAAAGATTAGACAACCATATAATTTCAGAACTAAAAGGATCAACCATCAACTACCCAACCCCTTCATTAAATGAAAGGGGGAGTGTTTTCCCCAAAGCAGATAAGATCACCAGAGCTAGTTAACTAAGCTAAGCTAAGAATTACAGCAGTTATATTTCTAATATCCTGCCCAATTCCAAACTATCTAACACTTTCTGTACTAGTGATTTAAAATTTAGCATGGGCTATCTTAGATCTTTTTTTTTAAGCTCATTTCTTCCTTGTCTGTCATGGTGACAGGAATTGTATCTCCAACCTCATTGCATCTCTACTCCTGACTCCATATCATAACCTTGTGGTTCGCAGTCCAGTGAGCCGCTCCTCCCTCTAGCTATGATCCCTGACCTTTTCTCTGGTCAAATTAAGAACCACATCAGAAGCACAGCTTATTCTTTGCTAAATCATCTTCCCAGTAATCGACTAAAGCATAAAGAGGTAACTATCAAAGTTTAGGAGCACCATATATAACAACTGCCTATGAAATATTCCCTACAAGACATGCTTAAAATCAACTGGTTTGATAACTCCCCACCTTAATCTTTCCTGACCTTGACAACCTGGAAAAAATCTAGTGTGTTGCAAAAGCTCAAAAAATGATTACTCAAGTAATATTTTGGTCTCAAATCAACACTCTACAATGACTCTGAAACAAGTTACACCTACACATACCCCTTCCTAAAGTGGCATCCAATTGTTTATACCCAAGATCAGCAGTTGCTCAAATTTCTACAATTCAAGGTTTTTTCCCACCATCCCTCCAGGTTGAAGTCTTACCTCAGTACAGTGCTTGCATGTGGATTTACTGAAGATGACCACAGGGTGACTATCGATATAGGCCTGCAGCAGAGCTCTGGGGTCTGTGATGGCTGTGCTGGTGGCTCTTGAGGACCTACTCACACCAGTGGCTGGGTTTTCTGTCAATGTTTGACTACCATGATGATACCTAGCTAGAATTAATGGAAGCAACAATGGTAATTATCAGAAAGGAAAACATGATGATACATTTTCTAATATTAGGTTTACTCTAAAAAGACTTATAATTTTAGCCCCAAGGGCCAAAATCAGGAATCTGAGGAAGGACTCTTAGCAGAAATTATGCATTTAGTTGTACCATGTGATTTGAGAGTTCTGGCAACTCATTCAATATTCCGACTCAGATTGTCACACGGGTCAGTTCTCAGCGGGTCCTGACAAATGTTAAGCAATAGTCTCAAGTGTCCTTGGAAGCAGGAGCATTAAGTAATAGGTTCTGAACACTGAGGGGCATAGTTTGCTCCCCACTAATCCCACCCATGGTTTAAATACAGAGGCTGAAGGTCACACATTATGTTCCCTTCTCATACAACCCTGCTCAGTGCCATTGGGGGACATCAGTTTACACCAAGGCATGCACATTTTCTCCTGGATAAGCATTCCCAAGATCTTCAGGCCACAGAGGCAGTACAATTAAAGAACAAAACAAAAATGACTTTCTTCAGGATTTGTATGACCCAATCTGGCACCACTCCAAAGATGACCCAGCTTTAGTGGTATGCTATCCCCACATGACAGCACCGTCACCTGGGCATCACCAGCCAAACCACCAAAAGATTGCTACCTCCAGCTTGTAAAGTTTTAAAACTAGCTATCTTGTTCAGAGCCACAAACAAACCAAGCTTAATCTTACCCTTACCCTTATTCCTTGCTCCTTAAGTGATAAGCTGAACATCTTCAGCAGCTAAAAGCACACCGATGTCTACATTCTGCCTTTATTTTTTCAGATTGCTATAACTCTTTTGAGCAACCCAAAAGCATTTCATGCTCATGTCCATCTCCAAGTCCTATTCTTGACTCCTTCTGTCATAAGTTTATTGAAAGGATCAGTTGTTGACATTCAACTCTGGTCTGATCTTTTATCTGCCTATGAATATTTAAGTCAAAATAATACTTTTTTTTTTTCTATCCCAACACTGAATACAAAGGGGCTTCAAAAAGTGTGTGGAAAATTCCATGATCTTTTCATTTCATTTTTTCACAATCTTTTTAAAGCCCACTTGCATTATTAACAATCTAGCATTTTTCCAGTCTTTTCTGAAAATCTTATTTATTGAACAGAATCTTTTAAAAATATTTTCTACAAAAAAATTCTTACCAGAACTATCATGCCAACCCTTTTCTACCCCAGAGCTCTATTATGTAACCATATGATTCTGCCAAAATATAAAGCAGACATAAAATAGAAAATAAATCCAAAGATAAGATTAAAGAAAACACAAGGAAAAATTTTTTAATGAAAAATAAGACTTAAACTGTATCATCTATCTCTTAAGGAAAAGTTAAATGTTAATCTGAATTACTAGATGTGGCCATTAGAAAAATACAGTACTTTTGTGTTATAGATGAAAACAAAACAAAAACAAAAAACTGAGTAAAGTAACAGAGCTTTTTAACATGTTAAGTAGGATACCTATGATAATATAATGAAAGTATGGACCAGAAAAATATATAGGTACATAAAATTTTGCCTGTAATTTTAGAATGGTTTATCTGAATTTCATCTCCTTATTTTCTAAGGCATTTACACACTTTTGGAAATCTATAAAGTGGTGCAAACTTTTTTAGAGCAATTGGAAACCTCTATTAAAGACTTCTAAGAATTTATTATAAGATATGTACAATGAATTTTTTGCATCACTGACGGCTGTAATGACCCCAAAGTGGGCATGCATATGCATGTCCATCATTAGGGAACTGAATAAATGAGTGATGACATCGTTATATAATGATGTACAACAGTTATTAAAGAGAGTAGATGTAGATCTATATATTTTATTATAGAAAATGTCCTGGTGTTTACTACTGTGGAATTAGCAAAACATAAATAGCCTGACCTTATGTGTATATCTATGTTTCTGTATAAAGCCTTAGAGGCTCCGTGGGTAAGCACTTGACCTGCTAACCAAAAGGCAGTCAGGAGGAAGATGTGACAGTCTTTGGCGGTACAGTTTACAGCCTTGATAACCCTCTGGGGAAGCTCTACACTGTCCTATAGGGTGGCTATATGTCCGAACTGACTTGATGGCAGTGGGTTTGGTTTTTGGTTTTATGCTTATCTCCACAGAAAATCCCTAAAAGGGGTCTAACACTGGTTATCTCTACGAAGCTGAACTTTTCATCATATACTCTTTTGTATAATTTTTATCAAATCTCTCCTAAAACTTGTTTATTGTATGAAATCTTTTTTTTTTTTTTTTTTTAAACCAATATATCAAAAATATTACATGGACATGTATTATGCTTTTAATGCTTTTTTTTAAAAATTGTAGTATGACCAAGCAGTTGCTGTTTCAACAATCTTCACATGTACAATTCAGTGACATTAAATATGTTCACTATGCTGTTCAACTACCATCACTATTTATATTATTTTTGTAATAATAGTTGTCTAAAAGGTAGTCAATTGAAAAAATAATCCTTGTTAGTGTCTGGATAAAATTAAGAACCAAGAGATGGCTGCTTATATACTAGACAGTCCAATGTTGCTTACATCTAAAATAGGGAAAGGAAAGTCAAAGACGTTGTTGTTGTTAAGTGCCATTGAGTCGGTTCTGACGCATAGCGACCCTGTACAGGGTTTTCAAGGCTGTAAATCTTTACGGGAGCAGACAGCCTCATCTTTCTCCCATGGAACAGCTGGTAGTTTCGAACTGCTGACCTTAAGGTTCGCAGCCCGATTCGTAACCACTACGCTACCAGAGCTCCTTTCAAAGACATTAGACATCCCCTTTTCTCTGAGATATGAGGAATTAGTTCTTCTTAAAGAAAAAAGGAACTCTGGTAGCGTAGTGGTTATGAATCGGGCTACGAACCTTAAGGCCAGCAGTTCGAAACTACCAGCCATTCCCTAGGAGAAAGATGAGGCTTTCTGCTCCTGTAAAGATTTACAGCCTCGAAACCCCTGTACAGGGTCACTATGAGTCGGAACTGACTCCACGGCACATAACAACAACAAGAAAGAAAAAAAAACACCTGGAATCTGTGCTAATTAATTACACGATCCCAAAAGAGCAATGGGACTCTGTATTTTATATGCAGAATATGTCAACCCAGACTATACCTATAGCACCTGCCCTCCATAAACTAGAGAGTCTAAGGTAGGCCTCTCAATCCTTACTCACACCAAAATCACCTAGCTTCCCTAGGCCTCATCCTTAACTGACAAAACCAGAACCATCAGGCTTGAGAATTGACTCGGTATGGACACGTCTGTGGTTGTACATGTATGCATCTATTTTAAATGCTCAGCAGCGATTCCAATGCGTACCCCTAGTTAAGACTACTGGATTAAGTCCATGTGACACATCACTACAGCCTCACCAATGCACTTTCAAAAGTTTCTTCTAACTTAAACTCTTTGGTTTTCCTGTTCAGTTCATCTTTTCCATTTTGCTTATTGAGACGGCATCATGGAAATAAAGGTCTCAAGTAGTCATAGCTCACGGGAAGAGAATCACAGCATGTCAGCAGGTGAGAGATGCTGAAGGTCACTATGATGAGGAACTCCCGGTCGAGACAGGAATTCATTGATGTCAGTTCTCCTGATTCCATTATACCTTACTGACTCCTTTGTCCTTGTGGGATGACTGATTGTAAAAGAAGGTGACAATTCCTTACATAGCATCTACACTGAGGACACCACCCAACTATTAAGCTCAGATTGTTGCCAACACATAGAGCACAGTTCTAAGAGGCAGCACAAAGAAAGGAATGTCTCCCATGACCACACAGAGCTACAGTCGTACTGGGCAAAGAGTTTACCAGAAATAAAAGTAAAATAAACAAATAGGTGGGTACATCAACAATAAGAGATTACCCAACTCATTAAAATCCATCCAAATTTTTCCTTACATTCTTCCTCTAGCAAAGACAAATGAACTTTTGCCTATAACTTTATCATTTATTTTCTAAGTTTTCACCCCTCAATTTTGAAATAAACTTGTGCAGCACTCAAAGAAAACTCTGAAACAAATGTTGCAAGAACAGTTCAGAACCAGGTAATCAGAAAAGTTAGTATAAAATTGTCATTAGGAATGCCTCCCATTTTGTCAGGTTTTTGACTCAAGACCAATTCCTAACATCTGAATCAAAGAAGTACCTACGATCCACTTGTAAAACCCAAAGAAAAGTTGAGAATAATAATAATAAAATATTCTCCATACTTCTATGTATAAAACTAAACATACAGAGTAGTGAAAGCAACTGGCTAGCTTAGAAATCGACAAATATAGAATGATGTCACATATGCTAAAAAGGCATTGAGGAGCACAGGAGTTGCAATGATGAAGTGCTCAGCTACTAACTGGAAGGCTGGCAGTTGGAAGCCACCCAATGGCTCCAAGGACAAGACCCTGACAATTGGCTCCGATGAAGATTACAGCCTAGACAACCAGAGAGGGCAGTTCTACTGAGTCGTAGGAGGTTGCGGTGAGTCAAAATTGACCGAAAGGAACGTACAACTACAACAACAAAAAGGCATTGCGAAACAATGAGGATAGAATGTGTTTTTTAAATAGTATGGCAATTATGGCTTGGCAATTTGGAAGAAAATTGTTTTGATTTGTCTCTTACTATATAGCCAAACATGTTAAAAGGACCCTTTTCCAGCTCTCTAGAAAAGCAGTCACTTCCTACACTTAGAAGCCAATACAAAGGAAAAGAGCACAATTGTACTCCAATAAAGTAATAAATAATAGGGCTTTTCAAAAGGCAAAAGAGGGTCCCTGGTGGCACAGTGGTTAAAGTGCTCGGCCACAAACCTAAAGACCAGTGGTTTGAACCCACAAGCTGCTCCTCAGGAGAACAATGTGGCAGTCTGCTTCCATAAACCCTGTG